AGAGGAAAGGGGTGAGGAGAGATGCTGGCAGGTGAAGGGCGCATTGACTGACGAACTGGGTTGTGTGGGAGCCTCTCATTGCCCACTTCGCATTTCTTTCCTGAAGCAAGAAGCTGTTCCCCAAGAGGAGGCAGAGATGAGAGACAGACAGCAGGAGGCATGTGCGGCTCTACTTCAGTTCACTGCTCTGCTGGCCTGGGGTTCTGTACCATGTCCACCCAACCCAGGCATTTTTGTCTTGTTCATTTGCAAGGCTGTCTGCATGGTGTTTGAGGAAAGAAACCCATGGGAGTGCGGAGGAGATACTGACAGAGATAGCTCGCATTTTCTGCTTCGAGATAGAATGAGTTGAAAATCGAGTCTTCAAAAACAAGTTTTGAAACATCGAGATATAATTTTGAGGCTGGAGAGATGGCTCAGCTCTTCAAGGCCAGGTTCACAACCGAAAAATATAAGAAATAATTTTGCATCTTGCTTTACTCAACAGTGTCTTCCATAGGTTGGTAAATACTCCAGGCACAGCCCTTCCCCAGCCCGCAGGTGTATTTGGGGCCAGGTAAAATGCTACTAAATTCTCCTATTTCCATGAGTGTTGAGACCTGAGCGATTCAATATGCCTGTCACTCCTGTATATGTGAGTGATGCCCACTCCATGCACGGAAGCTACTACCTGATGGGCCTTAGCGTGCCTGGGGCTGACAATCCCTGAGTCAGATCAAGGTCATCCTCAGCTATATATCAGGCCAACATAGACTATGGGAAACCCTGTATTTATAGCTAGGGGGTGAGGGTGAGGGGTCTAGAACGGGAACAAAGAGCAAAAGAAGGGGAAACTCTCATACAGCCATTTAAATTGAACCCATACCAGGTAAGTGGATTTTTAATACTGCCTCCATTACCTCTGGACTTCAGATTCCAGATGTGTCAGCTCTTCAGCACTAGTTTGAGTAGTAGCCCAATACTCGCCATGGCTCCCAGGTCTTCATGGGCCGAGGCTATGCCATTGGTCTTCCTTCTTTGGAGACTTCCAGCTTCCTAGATTGAACAACTGCTGGTTCCTTTAGCTCTCAGATCTATAGCCATGGTGGGACTAGCCAGCTCTTTTCATGTAAACCAATCTAATAAATTCCCTCTTATATTCTTAACCAACCAACCAACCAACCAACCAACCAACCAACCAACCAACCAACCCAGACAAACAAAAAAGAAAACTCTTGAGCTAGAATCCACATGGAAATATCTCTTTGCTAATTTAAGCAGTGCAATGAAGAAGCCATTAGTAAAATTCTTGTACAACTGAAGTATCTTAAGACAACTGCTACTATTTCGTGTACATTATGGGTTCGGTATCCTTCTACGGCAGTGGTTCTCATCCTTCTTAATGCTGTGGCCCTTTAATACAGTTCCTCATGTTGTGGTGACCCCCAACCATAAAATTATTTTGTTGCTACCTCATAACTGTAATTCTGCTACTTTTATGAATCATAATGTCACTATCCAACGTGCAAGATGTCTGATACGGGACCACAAAGGGGTTGCTACCCACAAGTTGAGAGCCACACAGATCTCTGGTGACCAGAGCCTGTGCCACTTTCAGACACAGTAAGAAATGATCAGCTATGGTTTTGGTCACCCTGACTTCCCTGTCATTGAGCTTCTCAGAGTCAAAAGTCATGCCACAGGTCAGGGCATGCTGTAGGGAGGCTGGCCAGCCTGTGTGAGAGGGGTTTGAGAAAGAGCAAGAGATTTTGGGTTTGTGCTGAATTGGCTGAGAATTCACTGGGTGGTTTAGATTGGATCACTGTAGAGCCCTGGGAATCTACCCCTTCCCAGCATTGCTATTTCAAGCGTGCACCATGCTTTGCTTTTTCTGTGGTCGTGGGAGTGGAACTCAGGTCCTTATGTGGCAAGCAATTTACTGAATTATCGCCCCAGCATCCATGGTAAACACTTTGAAGTAGTGCTCCTCACATGTGACTATCAGGTCTCTTTGTCCTTATAAACCCTGATGAGGATTCATGCAGCTTCTGTGGGTGGGATCTTTCAGTAGTTGCTATGTCAGGAATTAAAACTGAAATTTGGCCACTCAGAAGACTGAGGCGAGGGCATCAGGAAATTAAGATTTAAAATAAACTTTTAAAAATAAAATATAGTTTATTCTGGAGCCAAAGATGAGTGTCCACAGCCCAGAGACACAGATTCAGGCTATCCCAAACACTATGGCCTGATGTTGTGACAGCTTCATGAAGCGTCTTCAAATACATTGGTGGGAAGATCAGGTGGGCAGGGCACAGTGAGGTGGGGAAGTCATGGCTGTGGATCGGATGCTCTGTGACAGCATCCTCAGCCTTTGGGGAGTCAAAGCTCAGAGATCAGATTGTCCATCCTAAAATGGGTTTTACCTGAGAGTCACAAGGATGTTCGATCAAGCATCGAGATGGGCAATGAATGCCAAGGTTTTTGTTTTGTTTTGTTTTGTTTTTCAGGAGGGTGATCTAAACATAGGTCCAGATAACTTGACTCCAAACCTGAAAATAAAAATTTTAATAATGTCTGGTTATGTAACTTAGTAGTAAAATACTTGCCTGGCCTTTGAGATTTAGACTTCAGCAGCAAAAACAAACAAACAAACAAACAAAAAACAACAACAATACAATAACACAACACAAACACACCACACCACACAACACAAAACAATCCAGGACATGAGGACTTTAACAAGATATATCTATTGCTTCATTTCAAATGAACAGTTACCAAAATTACTATAGTAGAGTTTTAATGAAAAACAGTCAGTTTCCACGAAGAGTCAGTAAGAACACAGGTACTATGTTTGGCAAGTGTCTTTTGTTCATGGAAGGAGGAAGCAGTTTCTTGTGTCCATATGCATCAGGCAACTACAATAGCCTAAGAGTATTCAGCCTCATGCAGGCATGTCCTTGGGAAGAGAAATGCTTAAATGACCTTCTGGGTGCTTGTGGGCATTCTTGGTGCCATGCCCAAGCTTGGCACACAGTAGTCTTTTAAAGGTTAGCTGTAGTGTGAACCAGAAACCACACCCATGAACTTTTGTTCTATAATTAAAATTCATTCTTAAGTGTTATGGTTTGAGTGGATTATTATTCATGCTTGGTTTTGTACCATGGTGCATTGGTCATTTGGAAAATGCTGGTTCAGTGAGTCATGCAGACAATAACACATTAATTACATGGTACTGAAAAGCTGCACACACGTTAGTATTTCTGTCAAGATCCAGAGCTAAAGACTTTTAGCTTTGAGATGTCAAACACACATGAATATTCTAAAAATTCTTTTCTGCTTTGAACACTCAAATTTTATTATTGGGCACAAACACTGTCAGCTGTTTTCATTGACAACCTCAATTTGTTAGAGAAAATGCCTGCCAAATACTCGTGTGGGTATGTGTAGCTTGCTATTCATTCCGTTCTGTTAGTATACCGTCCATTGAACCATGTGGTTAGCTTATGTGCTTTTCCTTGGGTTGACTGTAGGGGATGCATAGCAGAACCGTTTTGCATGGGTTTTTCATTTAGGTACACAGAGTACTAGGAGGAATGGACTGGAGGCCAATATTTAATGAAAACAATAGTTTTATTCCAGAATTGCCAGTGCACATCCGTGAGGGCCCTGTGGGGAGCCATGGTTTGATCTGTCCTGATGTTCATGGGCCTTGTGCCCCATCCGCCACTCAAGAAACTGTCCCTACTATTATGAGCAAGGTTTGACCTAGCCAACCCCCTGTGTGGTCCTGTAACTCCCAGGAAGCCATGCATCACGCTAAGAAGTGAAGTTGAAGTTGGTGTTGATGATGGTAGTGTGAGGTGGTTGGGCTTCTGCATATGGATGGCCACATCCTGATGGCGGTGTTATAGTGCTGAGCTGGAGGGCAGGGGCCCAGTGAGTGCTCGTTAGCCTAGTCTTTCTCACGTCCACCATGTTCTTTTCATTGACATTACTTAATAACTGAACCTATCTATCATCCATCACCATTCAGGTGATCTCTAGCATTTCCATTTGATATTTAATAGTTCATTCTCTTTGGTGGTATTTCCCATTCATTAATGCATGGTATTTACTTTTCTATTAAAGCAGGGTGTGGGGAATTTTACTTAAAGAGATGGAGCGCAAATATGTCATCCTGGGTGCAGTGCAGTCTCTGCTCAACTCTTCATCTCTGCTGCTAGGGGAAAGGGTCCACAGGCAGTGGGAAGAGATGATGTGGCATGTTCCAGTAGAACACGCAGGCAACCAGGCTGCAGGCAAGACTGGCCACAGGCTGCCTGCTGCTTGCTCCCACATCTGTAGCTAATATTTGATGGGTGCTGTCTAGAGTCCTTTCTTGGATGGTCTCAGGATGCAGGACACATTAGTATCTGATCCCATGGGTGGTTTTGTGTGGGTAGTTTTTCTTCCTTTTGTGTGTGAGAAATTTTGCTTAAAATCTTAAATTTACACATTTAAACACATCTTGGAAAACTTTTTTTTTTGGTGGTGAAACACCTAAAAATAAATATTTTGAATGTTATGGCCCTCGTCAGTGGCTCTCAGTTCCTCAGCTCTATTGAGTGGCAGACACAGAAGCAGAAAATGCGTGAACTTGCATCCTAAGAAATAATTATGAGCAAAAGCAGATGTAGGGATGGACTTGACATACACAGGCTGTACAGACTGAGGCTGGCAGTACCTCTGCCATAGAACACAGCCACCTCCTCTTCCATTACGCCCTCAGAAGGGCCTTGAATCAGCACAGACAGGAGGTTAGCTCAGTGCTGTTGTTGCTATGGTTACTCAGCTATTACCTTGTGCCGAGTGCATGCCTGATTTTCAGGGAGATATATTATCAGTACTCCCAGCCCATCTTCAACTCTAGTGTTCTGGCATAGGCCCTGCCCGTGTTGTAGAATCCTGTTAGCTGTCACTGATGTTTGGTGGCTTGCTGGTTGTAGGTAGGTGATGGATTCTTTTTTTTTGTGTTTCAGCTTCATGTGGATTGGTCCCTGAGTCTAGAGGTAGGATTTTTTAATTGTCCTGTTTTTCTTAGTTGGGGGATAGGCCATAGTCTGGTCACAGAACTGCTCTTTGTTTTTGTCCCAAAGGGGAGGCAGGACTTTGTTCTTCCTTCTCCACCCCCAGTGAACCTTCAGTAGTGTCCCAAGGGTGGCAGGCATTGTTGTCCTATCCTTAGTGCAGAGGGTTCCTGAAGTAGGGCCTCCCTCTCTTTTGGATTATATCATCGTAGGGTCTTTCCTATCCTCTGGAAGCACCCAGCGAGGTGTGAAGGGGAGATCCTGGGCTAAGCCATGTGAGAGATTGCCCAGCTCAAGGTGTGTTCTCCCCTTGCTTCCCCAGATTCTGTGAGCTCACCTTGTACTTGCCTGTAGCCCATGCATACTCCTGGCAGAAGGCCTCTGATGATCCTATTGGGAGCTCTTGCCATCCTCTTGGGCCCATCTCTGGGAAACTAGAATCCAGTCATGTATCTTCAGGGCTAGACCCATCTCTACTTGTGATAGCAGCTCTCTGATGGGTTTAAATTAAAATGTGTGAATTTTTCTGGCTGCTTAGAGTAGACAGGGACTCCCGAGTTTTGTAGCTCCTGAGTTGAAGCAGGGCGAGCTTTGATGCAGAGCATGTTTGGAGGATATAGTGGCGGTGGCAAGCTTGGAGTGGCCAGTTTGGTCTACTGACAGGTTGAGTGCCTCCATGCTGGTCCCTAGCAAGGTGGCTAAGTCTCCCTTGAAGAACAACACTCAGGACTCTAGAACTCAGATAGACGGTAGTGATCTCCTAGGCTTTGTATACCTCAGTCTGATGTCTAGGTTCATGCAGACTCATGCCGACTTTGCCTGGCTAGGAGAGGTGCTGACCTCTCGGTGCTGATGCCTGGGCTTTGGCAGATCATCTTGGATATCTTCTGTGGACCGATGCTTGGTGGACCATGTCTCAGGTTTCTGCCACAGCGGAGTAATCCAGTCCCATGGACTTCTTGCTTATAGACGGAGGAAGAAGTATTAGCTGCTAACGTGACTGGTTTCTATTTCAGGGAGACCATTCCCGAATGTCTTTTAAGAAAAGGTTTCCCTTAAGACACCACAGAAAGAGAAAAGGTATGTGATGTAGATGCTGAAGACGTACAAGTGTGTATTCCGTGTGTACACTGTGTGAAAACTCAGCTGCTGCACGAGAACGCGTGTAAGAGCCCACGGCAAACAGCCAGTGTGCAACAGGCTAAGCTTGGTTCTTGAAGAATGACTTAGAATATGCGGAGAGCACACCGTAGGGAAAAGATCTAACTTTCCTTTTCCCTCTCTACCATAAAACCACCACAGTAGCATCACTAAATTATACATTCCTTTCCTAATTTTTCATAATTTCATTGCTTAACGTTTCTTTGCACTTGTAGTTTATTTGTTGGTGTTTTGAGATAGGGTCTAACATAACTTACCGTGATCCTGAGCTCCTAATCCTGTTGCCTCCAACTTCCAAGCGCTGGGATCACCATGCGGCTTAGCGTTGTTGGAAGCCAGTTTCCTAGAAGCGTCCACCGTCAGACTTCCTGGTGCCCCCAACAGCTAGTAAGGGTAGGAAAATTACATACGGCAGAATTAAATGGTATTGTGCTTGGGGTAATGTTTGGGAGACTGTATGAACCCTTTAGAGGCTTTTGATAGCTTGCAGATAAGGAAACTGAGGCAGAGAGTGAGACACTCAGCTCAAGGCCCTTTCCTGCATCACTGCACTGGAAGGTGGCACTCACTTGCAGAAATGCCAAATTCCTGCCGAGTCTTAGCAGCCCGGTGTGGATGTGGTGGCTCTAAGCTCTCTATCCACAGCATCTACGCTTTCTGAGTGCAAGCAATTTCCCCACAACAAGCACCTGCTGGTCCCTCTTTTTAAAAATGCAGGGCACAGCAATGAATCTCCCAGGAGGCAACAGCACTCTGTGTGACTGCCTAGCCGAGGGCCACTGGACACCCTGTAGCACCATCCCCCTGGCTTGTCTCCCTCTCTCTCTCCATTTAATTAGTAGATGGCCGCTGGTGTGAGGATGGAGGGAAGACACAGGACTGTCACTGAGGGAAGGAGGTGGAGGTTCTGTGGAGCGTAGGTGGGGTGAGCCGCACTCACAGGCTGTTAACAGCTGCTGCCTGATGCATGGCGTTGGCTTGACATCCCTTAACCTCTGTGTGGTCAGAGTTAGACTGCACCAACACTGGGGGGAGCCTTGAAGGAAGGAGGTGGTAAGGAGCAGCAACAAGCTCACCTGTAGAGGTGGGAGCCCTTGCATCTTGTGGGGTACAAGAGGCAACAAGGTGGCATCTGGGCCAGGAGAGAGAGGGAAAAGGAGAGAGGGGAGAGGTGAGGTGTGTGGGGAGGAGGGAACGGAGGGAGGCGGGGTGAGGTGGGGGACACAGGCCTCCTGGAGCATCGCGCTTACAGTGTGTGTGCTATTTTGGCTTTTAATGCTAACATTTCATTTTAATTGTTGACATTCCATTGGTTGTGTGTAGAATTTGCAGTGGGTCCCGAGTCGTCTTTGGCTTTCTACTCTGCCTGGGAATGCCAGAGACAAATGCAGATGAGATCACCAGAGAACCTTTTTTCTGTTTTTAAGAAAAGAGGTTCACACAGTGGACCCCCCAGATACTGAGACACGAAGGTGGTCTTTGCACCCGGTTGGAAGAGAAGTGCGACCTCTTGGTCTCCAGAAACGAGCCCACTTGTCCCTTTGAGTAAGTCCTTGACGGAGGCACCCTGTTGGTTTGCAACTAGGTCTGATCTGTTTTCTCTTTCTTTTCCATGATCCGAGTTTCAGGTGAGAAACACTTCCAGGTGCCTCTGCATCAAAAGTAAAGGTGCTTGAGCAAAGTCTTCCCGTAGCCTTCCTTCCACACCTGTACCACCCTTTTCCGATTATCATAGCACCCCTGATGTCCTTTATATGTTTATTGATACTTAAATTAGCAAAACTTGCATTAAGTCATCGGTTATAATAATTTGAAAATCGGTACGGATTCTAAGATGCCTTTGTGGCAGCCTTACTGAAGGCTATTCTCATTCTACTGAGGAGAGAAGACTTTTTTTCTCTCTCGCGGGTTTCATGGTCAGGGCATTCCAGTGCTGGCATGCTGGTGGGCTTCTGTCCCCCAGGACTGCCTCTTTGAATACCAGCTTTTGTGGGTAGTTCCATACTGCCCTCCAGAGTAGCTGTTGGCCAGGTGCCATGAGCTCTTATGCTTGTTTGCAAGCGCCCAGCTGCCTGAGGGCACCACAAATATCCCCGAAGTTCAATTTCACTCTCCAAGCGACAGAGTGGTTATTCACCTGGGTACATTAGACAGGTCTGTTGCAGGTCATCAACTACACTGAGGCCACCAGAAATTGTGGCCTAGAAGTAAGATTTATTTGGGTGTAGGGAATCAACTCTTTAACACTTGACCTAAAGAATGCCTCTTTCCTCAGGAAGGCTGTAGCCGTTAGTGGTCCATCCATCCTCTTAGATGTGGTCCTGGGGAAGATGTGTGTCTCCCTGTTCTAACTTGTTTTCAAAGCACCATGGCACCATTCATTTTGTGAGATCTGCAAGTTCTATTTTTTTTTCCAGGAGAATGAGGCAGTTTCAAGACCCAAAGTCTAATTCAAGGCAGTAATAAGTTTTCCTTAGCTCCCTGGGCATAATTTTTGGCTGTATTTATTGTGATTATTTCTGTTTGATTTTGGTAATAAGGTAGTAGAAGGATAGACAGGCAGTGGAAACAAATGAGACAGATAAAAGGCCATGTGTTTTCCCGTTGAGACCTTCAGTTGGCTTGCATTTCTTCTAAGGGCACTTGGGTCTAGGACCAGGACACTGCATGGCTTGGTGCTTGCTGGACAGACCCCTTCCTCTGCAGGGCAGATACAAACACATTTTCTCACTGTTTAGCTCTTTTCTGCACTGAAAATTGAGACTCTCCAGGCAGAGCCTCTTCAGGCCACGTCTCCATCATCCTGGGCTTCATTAGAGACCTTGTTTTGGGTTCCTGTGATTGAGTCAATCTGATAACTAAGACATGGTTAATAAATGAATTTGTAAACAATCATAGATCAGTTTTGCTTTTTGATGACTTGTTAGGATTGTTCAAAAGAACTACAAGCATTGGTTACAGGTGGGGTCCAGGAGTCTAGGTGGCCTTGCAAAGCAGGGTAGGGCATGTTTCATGCCCAGTTTGCCTCTCTGCTGGGCAGTGCCAGTCCAGTGGGCTTTGTGGTCTTTCCTCTGAGGTGTTTGTTTTGACAGACTCCTTTGACTTGTAGTGACAGCTTGTTCCAAGTGAAATGAATCGAACGGTAATGACGGTCCAGTTTCTTTTACTGTCTTGGGGGAGAACCACGTCCACTCTCCTCTCTGAGTCAGGTGCTCACTTTCTGTCCCTCTGTTTTTATTTGTCATTAGAGGGACCCTAAGAGGAATGTTGGATTGCTGGGTTTCAAGACCCCCACCCCCTAATCTACCATAAGAGAATCTCTCTGAGCCATTTCTTTTCCGATCAGGTAGCCAGAGGGCAAAACAGCTGCTTTCAGGAGCTTCAAACAGGTGTTTACAGGGTAAAAATAAGCCCACATCCCGGCTTCCTCCAAAGTTCCGTGGCTTTGCATTTTAGTTGCAGGGAGAGGTCATTTCTGAAGAGAAGCTGCCTGCGAGAGCAGCTGGGTTTGGTGGCTGCAAGGCAAGTGTCACCCAGGCTTGATAGGCCAGCTGGCACCAGTACCACCTGGGCTAGCGAGGTCATCCAGCACCAGCACCACTGAGGCTAGTGAGACCACCCAGGGCCAGCACCACCTTGGCTTATGAGGCTGGATTGGTTCAGTGAGATGGTGCTAAACATGGAAAAGGGGTTTCACTGAGAACACCCTCCGCAGTAGCCAAGGACACTAGGAATGGATACTTGCCCCGTTTTCTGGGGACGTTGTCCCTGGCTGATGGGCCTAAAGGTCCATCGGCTTGTATAAACGGCTTCTGTAGTTTCACAGGTGTTCGGTAGGCAGAAATTTATCCAGTTGGTCTTATTTTGACCCTATAAAACCTGAACACTTTTAGTGGAGGGATTCATGATAAAAATTCTCTCTCTCTCTCCCCCTTTTTTTTTTTTTTTTTTTTAGCAAATCCCTTCAGTGATGTTCTATGATCTCTTACTTAGGTGTAAAATGATGTGTAGGACCGCATCATGGTGCCAAGGAGAGCAAGTCCTGAGCCTGCATCCCAAAGACCTGATAGTAGCCCTGGACCTGCTGTTGAGGGACAGTGTCAGCACAGGCCAGTTGCAGGGGCCCCATGTCTTCATCGGTAAGATGAGGTCAAGAAATTAGATGTTCCTTGTGTTGAGCTCCGCAAGCTCCTTTCCTTCCCTAGGAGGAAGAAGAGGCAATCTCACGTCCCGGAAGTCTAATCCAGAGTGGTATTAGGTTTTCTGTAGCTCCCTGGGGATAATTTTTGGTTGCATTATATTAGTGTTGGCAGAAGTTGTTCTGTAAATTTGAGTTTGGGGGACCCATTGAGGTGGGTTACTTTTCTCAGAGCCACAGAAACCAGAGGAATCTGTGAAACTCGGGTTGCATGGTCAGCAGCTCCAGCTGCCTTCCCTGCTCAGCCTTGGCATTGCTCTTGCGAAGAGGGTGAGCTGCATGGAGCCATGCTGGGGTCTCCAGTCATGGCCAAGGACTCGGGATGTGTTCCGGATTGTGGTGTGGGGCTGACTTTGAACCCCTGAAGGTTTGAATTTGGGTCTAGAGACCGCCGATGGGAAGAACAAGAGACAACTGACTTTAGAGAAAGGAGTTCCTCTCATTTACCTTCCTTGTAGATATTTTCTCTCCCACTGAACGGTTTCTTTTCTGAGACTCCCAGCTCTGTCTTTGGTAGCAGACTAATTCATTTCCTGTATGGCATTTGATGTTTAGGTGACTCCGTTCCGGTCTCCCTGAGTAATCTTCAATATGCATGTGTTTTGTAAATTGTTTCACAGTGTGGCTAACACAGGTGGGGTTTACATGGCAATCTCCTCCGTGTGCTGGGGCTTATGGAGGGGCCCCTCACTGCCTTTCTGATGGTCACGGGCAGTGGAGT